GTTACTACGCTATATTATACCAGACTAGGGTTGAGTCTGTACTATGATGGAGATGTCAACCCACTTGCCGAAGAACGGAATCCTCATTCCTCCTTGGTTTGTTCTCCTTCTGCCTTTCTCTAGTACCTGGTGATGGACTACTACGTTGGGGGTGACCTCCTCACCCTGCTGAGCAAGTTTGGCGATTGCATCCCGCTGGAGATGGCCCGCTTCTACTTGGCTGAGATGGTGATGGCCATTGACTCCATTCACAGCATGGGATACGTGCACAGGTGCATAGGCTGGGGGTGGGTGGGTGGGTGGGTTCTGAGGAAGCAGAGGCTGCTCCGTGAAACGTTTGCAATCTCCAGAACCTCCTTGTTCTGCTTATTTATTCTCTGGATGGTATAAAGCAGGCAGAGTAACTCCACAAAACATCCATAACAAAGTCTTTTTTATCGGTACATCAGGTATCCTCATAACTCACATTTGTGACGAAGTTCTTCTTAATGTCCAATCCTTTGCATATCCGTCTTGTAGTGTATTAAGGTTTGGGTCAGAACACACACCTGGGAAATCCCAAATCTGAAAGTTCCGGTTTCCCTCCAATAAGTAAAAAAATTACAAATCCACCCCCTGCACCCATCATCGCATCACATGCCCCAATCACTATCCATCACAACTTGAGACTTCCCTTCACCCAGATGCAGAGATAACATGACCTTGACTTAGAAAAAGAATGCTATTAATGTCTAACCACATATGCTCCAAGAAATTCCCCCCTCCCGTTTTCCAAGGCTCAGGAATGGGGCAGCGTGGAAGCTTCTGGTGCTAATATGGCGTCCAAAGCTGACACAAAGTCAATGGGGGAAGCCCCATTCACTTAACAACCGTGTGGCTAACTTTAACAGCTGCAGTGATTCACTTAACAACCAGGGCAAGGAGGTTCATAAAATGGGCCGAAACTCACTCAACACATGCCCCGCTTAGCAACATTGATTTTGGGGCGTAAGTCGAGAATTAGCTGTATGTCCCGCTTGTATTTCTCCCTCCCATCCTTCTCGCCCATCATCTCCGCTCTCTGCCTGACAGGGACATCAAACCCGACAACATCCTTCTCGATCGGTGCGGCCACATCCGGCTGGGGGACTTCGGATCCTGTCTGAAGCTTCGAGAAGACGGGACGGTGAGGCTGCCAACCGAGTGGGGAGAGCAACTCCAAGGAGCGCGGATTTGACGAAGGGAAAATAAAAATAACCATCATGGCTTAATGGTGGCCAAGGGGCGTGGTTTTGACCCCAAGACCTTTCTGATTACCTCTCAAAGCTACACACACACAAACTATGATTGCCAATGGAGGGTTTGTGCTTCAAGGCAGTCTGGCAGGGGCAGCTGAGCGGGGGGGGGGTCCCCCTTCTGCCCCCTCTTACCTCCCATTTGCGGACTTTCCAAAGACCCCCCTCCCCCAAACCTGGGCCATATCTGAAACAGGATAGGTGGCAGTTCGGACGCTGGTTCCGAGGTTCTCACCTGCATTCTCACGGTGGCAGGTCTGTTCCACAGTGGCAGTGGGCACCCCAGATTACCTCTCCCCGGAGATCTTGCGAGCAGTGGAAGATGGGCTTCATTCCTACGGCACAGAATGTGACTGGTGGTCTCTGGGCATTTTTGCCTATGAGATGTTCTTTGGGCACACCCCCTTCTTTGCCGACTCCGTCGTGGAGACCTACGGCAAGATTCTGCACTTCAAGGTTGGTGGCCGGAGGGCAACCGGATGGATTGGGAGGGAGGGGTGAGTTGAGGTGCCCCATTGCTGGGCCGAGAGGTTGATGGTACCCTGTCCTGCTGAGAAGAGGAGAAACTCTGTGGCTTGGGGTTGAACTGTGGGGTCCTTGGTGGTCTCTGAGCTTGCTGGATTTCTTGCAGATGTCTCATTACCAAACTAGCTAACATCATCAGTGCATACCCCACATCCTGTTCCGCTTTCCCTTACTTGTTGCTTCCTCCTTTCTCCCAACGTTCGTTTCTCCAAGGAGCATTTCCGCTTCCCTCTCTCGGCCCCAGAGTTCCCCGCGGAAGCCCAGGCCTTAATCGAAGGGCTGGTCTGTGCCCGGGAGACCCGTCTGGGACGCAACGGAGTCCAGGACTTCAAGGAGCACCCCTTCTTCGCCGGCCTCGACTGGCAGGGCCTGCGGGACTGCAGCCCGTCCTTCGTGCCCGAGTTCGCCAACGCCACCGACACGTGCAACTTCGACGTGGTGGACGACTGTCTCACCGACATGGTGAGAGGGGGAGGGGTACGTGAGCTCTTACTCTTATTCTCCCCTTTTCCTCTCGGCTGTACCTGGGGGCTCTCCTAGTCGTGTCGGCATTCCAGCAACCCTCCATGCCGCCCAATAACTCTGAGAGAGACATCTTCTCAAAGGTGTTCTGACCCAGGCTTCCTTCAAATGAAGGAAACACGCGGTGTGTAAAAGCAAACCACCTTTAATGCGACGCTGGGAATTATTTGCATTCCCAGCCCAAGCTCATTAAACACAATTGTCTGAGATAAGAGATGGTTTCAAGAACTCGATATCTAGAAAAACCCTTTCCCCCCCATCTTAAAAAAAGACCTCCCCCCCCCAACCTCTTATATCAGGGACGCTGCCTTCCGTTCTGGTCCCCTTGGCTAAATGCTCAGCTGCTCTGACTGGAAACGTCCCTCCTTCCCTCCCTTCTTTCTTCCCAGGAGACCCTGTGGGACGTCATTGAGACCTCTCCCCTCGGAGTGCAGCTGCCCTTTGTGGGGTACTCCTACACTTACACGGCTGTGAAGTAAGGAGCGTTTTTGGGGGTCACCCTTTTGTACTTTGCAAAGGTTGTGTGAGTTTGTCCTAAAAGGCTAGGCTGTGCAGCTTGCAACCGGAAAGTTTCTTCCGGGTGTCGATTTCCATGATTAGTTCTGGATCCAAAGATTTTTCTCAGCAGTTTCTCCACCTGCAGAACTGGATCACCTTGCAGGCGCTTCTAGGGCAGAGTTTCTCCATCTCAGCAACTTGAAGACGGGTGGACTTCAACTCCCAGAATTCCCCAGCTGTCACTGTAGGGAAC